GGGTTGAGTCAATTTGCTGGACAAACCCTGCAAATCTTGGCATTTGGAAGATGTCACAGAAGATGGACTGAAGCAATGGGCTAAAGCTTCGGGTAGGGGGGGGATTGTTTAAAAGTTTGATTACAAAACAATCAAATGCCTGGTTCCTCATCTTTGCTTGTGTTGCCAAGTGATTACTCTGTTGTATCTTGTAGAAAATGAAAAGTTTATCCTCTGGAGAAAGCACAGGAGAGAAGGTCCTGACTGTGCTGACACAGCTATGCTGTGGGGCCTCAAAACAGAGGAGCTAAGTAATCTGCATGGAGGCCCAAGGGACTCTCAGGCCTTTTCCCTTTCTGGCTTTTTGAAGCCAGCAGTTAGGTATGAATCTCCCCAGCTCCTCCAACTGAGGCAGAACGTGAGTGGTGTCTTCATTAGAGAAATACATTAGCTCCAGGAAAAAGATGCTTGATCTAATATTTAGAAGTCAGAAGGCTAGCTTATCACTTTATCAACTCCTCAAATCCCACTTCCATTTATTCAAAAAAGGGGATATGGCAGTGAACAAACCAGGTAAGGCCCCTCCTGTTCTTGTGAGGAGAGAGAGGCAGTAGATGATTGTGAGGTGTGCCAGGTGGTGCTCAGGGCGAAGAGTTGGGGCAAAGAGAGCAGAGTAAGGGCAGGGCGATGTGCCCTGTTATACAGAGTGTTGAGGGAAGGCCTCTTGGAGGAGGGGTTGGAGCAGCCTTCAATGATGTGAGGAGCAAGCCATGCTGGTGTTGGGGGATGTGCATTCCAGGCAAGACAGGAGAGGGTGTGGTGTGTTTGTGTGACGAGGTCAGTGTTGCTAGAGAGATGAGTGGAGGATAATGTTAGGGAGGAAGTCAGAGAGTGGGTGAGAAGCAGATAGTGAGGGGCCTAACAGGCCCGGTGAGGACTTGGACTATCCCACGTGAGGTTGGAAGACACTGACGGGTTTTGAGTGGAGGAATGACAGGGTCTAACTGATGTTTTAAAAAAATGACTGTGCAGAGGACAGATTGAGTGGGACAAGGGCTGAAACAAGAACAGTTAGAAAGCTTTTCCAGTTGTCCAGGTAGGAGAAGATGTTGACTTGGGCTGCTGTGGTAGTGGAGGAAGAGGTAAGCGGTGCTTGGGTTTGGGCTGTCTTGGGTTCAAAAGCGATATTATTTGCTGATGAATTGGATGTGCATCGTGAACAAGGAAGCGCAGTTAAGGGTGATGCCAGGATTTTTGTCTTGCATGAGGCTGTTGCCATTTTCTGAGCTATGGCTGTGTGGAACACTGGGGAAGAGAAATGGGGCTTTTGTATTTTGTTTTAGTTTGCTTTAGGGATTTGCTTGGGCACATGCACATGCGTGTGTATGTGTGTGGTGTATGCGTTTGAGTCAAGAGTGATATGCCACAGTCTTCCATGCACATGTGGGGATTCCCCTCAGCGTTTTAGTGCCTTACTGTCAAACCTGAATGGGCAGCCAAGGGTTCCCAGATTTTGAAGAAAGCCTCCACAAGAGGAGACAAAACCTGTCCAAAAACAGAGTGTAGAAAATGGAGACATTGGAGAGAATAGCGGAAATCTTAAAAAGAGAAAAGGAAAAGGAAATGAACAACAACAAAAACTCATAATATCCTCGGAATGAAGGAAAGATAATGAATCTGTGAAACAAAAACAAGACACCCGTAAAGAAAGAATAATCAGAACAGGAAAGTTATTGAAAAAGAAAATGTGGTAACTAAAACAAAACTTTCAGTAAAACAGCTGGAATATAAACTTAAGAAAATAACTCCTAAAATACAACCAAAGCATAGGAAATTAAGAAGATCAGTCTAAGAGTACCATTATGTCACAGGCATAACCAGCCTCCAAGATAACCCCCAAGGATCCTCACCCCCTTGTAACCAGGCCCTTGTGTGGTCTCTTCCTGCAATGAATAAGGGCTGACCTGCATGGGCAACCAAACTGCCAAGTCACAGTATGTGACTTTTTTTTTCTCTTAAAGATTGGCACCTGAGCTGCTATCTGTTGCCAATCTTTTTTTTTTCTTCTTCTCCCCAAAGCCCTCCAGTACATAGTTGTATATTGTAGTTGTAGGTCCTTCTGGTTGTGCTGTATGGGTTGCCACCTGAGCATGGCTTGATCAACAGTGCTAGGTTCACCCCCAGGATCCAAACCAGTGAAACCCTGGGCTGCTGAAGCAGAGCACGTGAATTTAACCACTCGGCCACTGGGTCGGCCCCACACAGTATGGGACTTTTGAGGCTAGGTCATAAAAGACATTACTGCTTCTGCCTTGGTCTCTTGGATCACTGGCTCTTGGGGAAGCCAGCTGCCACATCATGAGGACACTTAAGCAGCCCCGTGGAGAGGAGCCGACTTGCCAGCATCATCTTGCCAGCCGTGTGAGTCAACCACCTTGGAAGTGGATCTTCCAGCTGAGGCCCAGACATCATGGAGCAGAGATAGAGCATCTCTGCTGTGCTGTCAGAATTCCCTATCCACAGATGCTGTGAGCATAATAAATGAATATTGTTTTTTTAGCCACACAGTTTTGCTGTGATTTGTTACACATCAGTTGATAACTAACACATTCACTAATCAGGATTCTGGGAAAATATAGCAGAAAAAAATTGCGGGGGAGTGGGGGAAAATGACCAAAGAAATAATGTAAGAAAATTTCCCAGAAGCAAAGACATGAGTCTTCAGATTAAAGAAGCCTGCATGTACACATGAATAAAATATAGATCCACTATGAAGTATATTATTTTGAAATTTTATAATACAATTTAAAAAGAGAAGATATCAAAAAGGTTCTGTAGGAAAAATTACCAACAATTGTGTGTCAGAATCACATGAACCTTCTCAGCAATGCTGATGGCTAGAAGATTGTGGAGTCATGTGTTTAAAGTTCTAGGGGAAAGTGTTTTTAACCTAGATTTTTTTACCCAGCCAAAAATCAGTCAAGTGTGAGGGTATACTGAACCCTTACTTAGGAAGCTGCCTAAGGATGTGTCTCAGCAAGTTGAGAAAGCCCAGTAGAAGACATGGATGATGGAGGGGATGAAAGATGAGTCCCAGGATCATAGTTGCACGTGGTCAGACCAGGCCAGGCTGAAGCAAGAGTCAAGGGCGGTGGGAGTTGGAGTTGGGCTTAGTGGGTGAAGAAGGAATTGATAGATGATTTGGTGTGTTTGTATGATTACATCAATTATTAATAAGTTTAGGGGGTATCTGTTGGAGCTTTTGTACAAAGTAATAATAGATATATAGAAAACTAAGAAGACAAAAGACAGTTATTAATTCCAGGTTGTGAAAGAAAACAGAATTGCAGTTCACTCAGCACTCAAGAAATATTTACGCAGTCTTAATAGTGTAAATACTATTGATTTAACAGAAAATTAGGATATAACTATATTGGGAGAATGAGTGGAGGGCACTGAGTGTGGTGGTATAAAAGTCCTCAGGACCATGATAAGAAGTCAATGACAATGTCTAAAGTTAATGAAGCAAAGAAATATCAAAACTCTCATTACCTTCAAATGTGGGGATAAGTTCTAGAATAAACCGCTAGAAGAGTTGCAGTATATTGCTTTTCAGGGGTGAAGCTGGGTGAGACATAGAACTTCTTATTTTTATTATAAGCCAGTAAGTATTATGTCCACATTTAATAAAAACAATTTTTTAAAACCTTGAAGGAAAATAGTTACTTAAAGCTGATGTTGATGTAACAGTAGAAACATTGTAATTTAACCCCCTTCTCTTTTTGTTCTCTCCATTTCACTGGAGAAGAAAGAAGCTGTAGAAAGGAAAGTGATCTCTATTCCCTCAAGTTAATGTATTCCCAGGACTAAAAATTTGTAATTTCTCGTCTTGAGCAGCACTCTGGTGATGACTACACTGTGTATCTCGTTCACTTCTGTCATGATCCCTTTTTGTTTTATATTCTGGAAATGATTTTGACAAATGTTGCTAAGGAGTAGGTAAACGCTCTTTAATTTTCTTTGGATACAGAATGAAACTCTTTTATTGCCAATGCACCTCAAGATAATTTTCCTCATAAATAAAGAGAAGTGGTTATAATATAGGAAGTTGGGTTCTGTGTAATAAGTATCCATTTTTTTGTTCCTTAAAATGTTCTTGGTGTTTTTCATAAGAATAATGAAAATAGGAACTGTTTCTCGGTCACTTTAATGTGTTTGCCTTACTAATAAAAGAAAATGGTTGTAATAAAGGAAGTTGGATTTTGTGTAATAAGTTCCAGTTGTTTTTGTCTCTAACAATGTCCCTGTCTTTATTAGAAGCGTTAGTAATGCAGAGTTAGCCCTCCCGGCCTGGTTTTATGAGGGAAGGGTTACTACTTGTTGAGTTACTTGCAGTTTCCTGCTTCTCTGAGTCTTCACGGCATGTGGAAAGCTTCACTAAAAAAAAATACAACCTTGCGGCCAGCCTGGTGGCGCAGCGGTTAAGTACGCATGTTCTGCTTCAGCAGCCTGGGGTTCGCTGGTTCGGGTCCCGGGTATGGACATGGCACCGCTTGGCACACCATGCTGTGATAGACGTCTCACATATAAAGTAGGAGAAGATGGGCACGGATGTTAGCTCAGGGCCAGTCTTCCTCAGCAAAAAGAGGGAGATTGGCAGATGTTAGCTCAGGGCTAATCTTCCTAAAAAAAAAAAAAATCAACCTCTATTATTTTTAATGGCTTTATTTTTTTCTGGTCATAAATAATCTATATCCTGATATATTTTAAGTAAAACAGAAATACGAATTACATCATTATGTAACTGTGGTCTGCCAGTGGACTAGATAATAACCTTGTTTTCTTGTGTATTACTAAAGTATAAAATATTTTAACAGTATATTGGAAAATCCTGACATATGTTTATTATTTTATCTATTTGATTTGGATATATTTATTACTCTTGTTTGACCATGATTCAAGAAGTTTGAAAAAGTCAGGTGACAAAGTCTGAGTACATGTCTGTTTTTCTCTCTGTGAAGACTGGCACACAACCTTTTAACCGTGCAATGCTCTTCAATGTGGGCTTCAAAGAGGCCATGAAAGACAGCTTCTGGGACTGTGTAATTTTCCATGATGTGGATCATCTGCCCGAAAATGACAGAAACTATTACGGATGTGGAGAAATGCCACGTCATTTTGCAGCAAAGCTGGATAAATACATGTATATGTAAGTAATGTGCCATTTTCCTGATATCGTACAATATATTTGCAAAATCGTGGCATTGAAATGATGGCAGCATTACGTGTCTGGTTCTGAGAGTACTCAAGAGCCTAGAGTATCTTTAACTCCAGCTCGTCCTCTGTGGGACCCAGGATGTTCAGTTGCTTGTCGTGCATCTAGGTACTTCCTCACACAGAGGTTTGAGTGTAGAGTTGTGGGAAAGAGAGCCTGGTTTCTACAGTCAAGCAAATGTGGATTTAACTTCTGCTTTTCACACTTAACAGCCATAGGACTTGGTTGTCTTGGGACTCATATCTCTGAACATTGATTTCCTCGTTCATGGGAGTAGTGGAGCCCATCCATGGGGCTGCTGTGAGACTGCGTATGCTGGGCCTGCCCCATGTAGGTACATAGCTCTTGTTGGCTCCCGTCTGCTTGCCCTTTCCTGGTGATGATTCAGTGCAGGGTAGGCCCTCTCTTCTGCAATGTATCTTCTCCCTAAGCTATGAATTCTTGACTTGCCTTTAATAATAAGAAACAAATTTTTTCATTCTCTGTTTGGAGATATCTTGAAATGTAAACAGTCATTGGAACTGTGACAGTAACTTAAATTGACGTTAAAGCATGCAGGTCTAATTTGGGAAGGAGATCACGGTTTTCATTGGCTAATGAAAGTGGAAAGAAGAGAAAATAGCCTGGAGCAGGGGGGAGGTTGCCTACATCACAATTTTGCCTGCTGCCGGAGCTACACAGTAGAGTGAGGCAAAAAGCATCAGTGACATGGCCAGGTGAATCAGCACTGAAACAGGAAAGACCACCAATTTTTTTTTTGCTGGTTGTTGTCATCATTAGAAAACCTTTTCCTTACTACTACAGGACCTGAACTCCAAGTCTGGCTTTACCTTGGGAAGGTCATCCAGGTTCAGGATCTGATTTTTAGCATTTCCAGAAACTCAGTTTTTGGTCAGCCTGCTAGAGTCAAATTAGATTCAGAGTAATTGATTTTCACTAAAAAATATCATAAAGGTCATACAAACTAAGAATTCTAAATCTTTTTACTTGAAAATATTAATTTCTAATGAATAAAATATTCGTATCTACCCAGATTAATCCCAGGGTCAGTTGGGTATCTTGGAAGTTTGAATAGAAATTAGAATGTAGCTTAGGGAGAAGGGCGGCAGATCAAGGAATGGGCTGGAGAGTGCATAGATGTCAGGCCATGGGGTGAGGCTTGATGCAGCATCCCTGCCCCACAGTGGTGCCCGCACTCTGATGGCTGCTGACCAGAAAGGTCAGGTCCCCAGATTAGTGTCTTTCTCCTTTTGGACAGTGTAAGGTAAATGCTAGTAGCAGTGATTTTTGGTTGTCGAGCTTCAATTTTCTGTTCTTTTGATAAAATGAAAGTATAATAGATAACTGATCTTTTTCAGTTCTGGGTATAGTGCAAACAGTTGTTTCCACTTAAGCAAAACACTAAATAGAATTAACATACTTGCCAGTTTATATGTGTCAAGGAATGTGTGTACATGCGTGCGTGCACCCCCACCTCCCCAATATCTACCTATCTACTGATCTCAGGTTTCTCTCAAACCACTAGCCTGGGCAAGAATAATCCAACTGGTGTGGGAAACACAACAGTGCCACTAGTGCTTACTGGCCCTATTGAACCCCAACCTGTGTCATTACGAGAATCCTAACTTCACAAGTGCGAGCCTTGTGAGGTCTCCTGGGACACTGTGGTTGTCTCTGTAGTCAGTTTTGCTGTTACTGTCTTGGGGTGCCTTTGACCCAGGGTCGGGCCAAGATTACTTTCTCTTGCAACCCTAGAGTTCCCTGCAGGAGCTGCTTCTCCCATCTTCTGTGGCCACAAAGATCCCAACTGACAAATGGCGCTTCTTTCTTACAGGGAATGCCCAAGAGTCTCTTGAAAACAGCGAGCTCTGCTCCCTCCCTCTCTCTGAGGCAGCTCCGCTATAGTTCTGGCCAGATTTCCCTCAGCCTGCTTTGCAGATGCTGCGCTGGGTCGTGTTTTCTCTGCTGGCCCTCCACACTTTCTGGCTTCTTAAGGGGCGCTGCACCCTACTCTCCAACAGCACATTTGGGGCCACAGGAGTCATTCAGGACCACGAGTCTGGGGATACTACCACGACAGCCAGAAAATCAATCTATATCTAAACGAATAAACTTAGTTTTACAGATTCGTTGGGTTATTTGTTAAGGAAAGGTAAAGAAAATAAAATCCAAATTTAAACAGTTATTTCTCAGAGAAAGATAAGTATTGTGTGCTCTCATTTATATGTGGAATCCAAAAAAAGAAAATGGAACTCATAGATACAGAGCAGACTGGTAATTGCCAGAGGTGGGCTTAGGGGTTCAGTGAAATGGGTGAAGGGAGTCAAAAGGTACAAACTCCCAGTTATAGGATAAATAAATCCTAGAGATGAAATGTACAGCATGGTGACTACAGTTAATAATACTGTGTTCCATGTTTGAAAGTAATTAGGAGAGTGGATCTTGAAAACTCTCGTTACAAGAAAAAAAAGAATTTTCTAATTATGTATAGTGATGGATGGTAACTAGACTTAGTAATCATTTCACAATATATACATATCAAATTACTATGTTGTACACCTAAAACTACTACAGTGTTATATGTCAACTATATCTCAATAAAAAAAGTTATTTCTTTAAATATTAATACATTAAAAATAAATATAAATATCATGAGTATTTGGGGAGTATAATCCAAACAGATAAGATCATTATAGGAATAGGCAGCTAGTCATTTCAAAATTAAATGCTAGACTTGTCTTTACTAATTATATATATCCTGGTCCATATAGTAAATAATGCATTTATAATTAAGTTCAGTTAAATTAGAAAATTTTATTAGCTTAGCAACATCTAACATTGGATTGACAGCTATTGATGTATTTAATCAAGTTTACTTTGGTGTGAAAATATACAATTCTTGAACACTGGGTTTTCAGTCTTATAAAGTAACAATACTAAGTATTAAATTTCAATTACCACAAGTGTTTTATGTAACACATTTAGATGTACTTGTTTCACTGGAATAAAAAAATGTTTTGTTTCTTGGTATACTTTACATTTCCCAGAATATGATTTAATCAACATAGTTGTTTATATGGTAAATGTGCAGAGCGCACATAAAAGACTGACAACTTGATTCATATGGTCAACTGTTTTGATTTCATTTTTAGAATGTTGTATTCTGTGTTCTTTTTTAGTCTTCCATATAAAGAGTTTTTTGGTGGTGTAAGTGGACTGACAGTGGAGCAATTTCAGAAGATCAATGGTTTTCCTAATGCCTTCTGGGGATGGGGAGGAGAAGATGATGACCTTTGGAATAGGTATGTTGAGGTACAAATTGCTTAACAATAGCATTCCTATAAATTTCCTTTCAGCTAGGTAAATTGTACTTTCCTATTTCAAGCAAAGATTCTTTGAGATGGAAAATTTTTGAGGTTCCTAAATCTTATTTTGTGTTTCTCCCTTTTTTCATTGAGTGTGTTCTGAAATTATTGACATACATGCATTAGAGCATTCTTTTGCATTTTAAATTGAACTCATGTAATCAATTTTTATGTCGAATTTTATTTATATTTTCATTTCCATATATTGTATTGTAGAGTTCACTATGCTGGATATAATGTAACAAGACCTGAGGGAGACTTAGGGAAATACAAGTCTATTCCTCATCATCATCGAGGTGAAGTCCAGTTTTTAGGACGGTAAGTTTAATAGCATCTTCAGATACCAAAGGTTCAAAATTATTTAATGTTCGAAAGATTTTTAAAAATTCATGGCACCCCCAAAAAAATCTTCTGAAGGGAATTTTCTGTTGGTATCATTTTTCTTTATAGAAGTAAAGCATTTTTGTGCTTGTTTGAAGAGATATGCATGTATATCTCTTCATGCGTATACATATATATTTATGCATATATGCATAAATACATGCAAGTATATGCATATATTTATATGCATAAATACACATGTAGTTATGTTGTATTAAAGAGCCCAGTTAACTATTTATATAAAAAGTGTTTCCTTAATATAAAACATAACACCTTTTATTTCTTGAGGATGTCTTAAGTTGTAAGGGTGCAAAATAATTTTTTCAGGTGGCATTTTAAGCCTAGTAAAAATGCTATCTTAGAGAATGGTTTAGAAAGATTTTTAATTATGCATGAGAACCAAAAGTTGTAAAGAACTTTAAATGCTTTAATTATAAGAATGACCTTGAGCATATTCCTCATCAGTTTTTCTTTTTGAGCATGTTTCCATTACTTTTCATTTTTTTCTCTAATGCTATAGGTATAAATTACTAAGATATTCAAAAGAGCGTCAGTACATCGATGGGTTGAACAATTTAATATATACGCCAAAAATACTGGTTGATAGGTTGTATACAAATATATCTGTAAACCTCATGCCAGAGTTAGCTCCAATCGAAGACTATTAAAAGACATAGCTCTCGTGGCAAGATAGACCACAATGCTGGATTATAAACTTGGAGTGCGCTCTTAATGGAGGTCAGCAAATGGATGTGTCGCGGTGCCCTGTTCTGTGAGAAGAAGAGCCAGCAGTCCTCAGTGTTCACAGTGTGGGGTTATATACAGTCAGTCTTCTCCCACCCATCCTCTACTCTGTGACACACCCTCATGGTGAGCACTGCAGAGACCACATGCCATTGCTTAAGTCTGGAAGTTAAGAGAGCTCCCTACAAAGAGAAAATTTTTATACTAAAATCTATAATTCAAGAGAATGCTTTATTTCCGTTTAAACATCTTTTGTACATATGTGATGTAAATTAATGTGTTCAAATTGTTGAAAAATAAGATGTGTTGCAATTTTGCATGTGATTGGTTATGCCTTTATTGGACTTTTATAGACTTTTTTTTATTTGCATGGAATACAACAATGTAAATTTATGTCACTAAAAAAGGTTAACCCTTGTGTCAAATGAAGGAACTGTCAATAATTGACAGCCAACTAATAGAGTAAACTGTTATACTAGTTTTGAGCTTTAGACCTTCAGCCTTTTGTGTGGGAGAAGTCACAGCTTTCCTAGTGTTTCAAAGGGTAAGAAGAAAGGGCTTAAACAGCTTTTCTTCCTGCCTGTTTTTTTTTCTTGCTTGCAGTCTCATCAGATTTTGCTAAATCACAACCACATTGTTTATGCATATTGCATGAGTATTACCGAGAAAATCTTAAAAGTTGTGATGTGACATGATATAAAGGACCTCTTTATGCTAAATGTCTTTCATGTACCTCTGGTGTAAGTGTCGGGGATTTTGTGCCTCAAAAAATGTTCCTAAGGTTGTGTGTGTTTACACACTGTATTTTTTTTTTAGTTAGTTCATAGTGCACAGCACTTTTATTTCCAGTTCAGAAGAGCCAAAAAACATCTTCATCTTGAAAAACTCAAAGCAATTTTTTTTAAAAGAATGAGTTATGGAAAATCCAGTAGTACTTATAATATACAAATGAATTCTACTATTAGATAAGAAATTAAATGTTCTATTTTTATGAAGATAAATGCTTAGTAGATAACAAATTTTAAGTTTAATCCTCAGACTCTTAGAATTTCAGGTTTGGAAGAGATCCTTTTTGATGTTGGTCAATTTCATTTGAACTATACATAATTTTTTCATTTTTAAGAAGTTACATCTCTGGTGTTAATTATTAAAATCTCATTCAGAGCATAATTTAATAGAATTCTATTAAAACAATCAGTTATTTAAATGCATTGATGTTATAAGACACTTCTTTGAAAACAGATCTTACGACTTGACATTATGTTACTTTATCTTAAATTTGAATGAAGTTTTCATGGCAAAACCAAACAATATCCTTACTTTGAAAATTATCAATTATTGTTAACCAAAGATTCTTTAAAATGTCTTGATATTTTCACAAATTTAAAACAAAAAATTGTGTGTCTATAAAATGAATCTTTAACAACAGTAAAGAACAATGGAAATCTATAAATGAGAGATGTTTGGATAACATTTGCCTCATGGATTGTTCACCTAAAACAGAAGTAAGGTTATTTATCTCAGATTGTAAGTTTAATTTTGAAGTGTCATTTTCTGTGGCAATATTGGTAACAAGGATGACCACAAGCCAAATTATAAAATAATTGAAATTCTTATTTGAGAAAACTGGTAGCTCTCTGTTATGATACCAAGCAGAATTTTTCCACATTTATTTCTTAGAAATAGTTCCAAAATGTTTGTCTTTCATTTTTTTGCTGGTACTCAAAATAATGAAAAATCAAACCTTCTGAAAAGTAAAATATTTATTCTTAATTTATGTATCTGTTCTTTTCTGTCTCTCACAGCCAATGTGGTTAATTCGATGAAATGAAAGAAAGTAGATTGGGAAAGTTAACGTTTGTTGATCACTAACAAGATAAAGATAGTAGGGGCATAGTTGCATAATTAACCCAAGAATACTTCAATTTTTCAGTCATGGGGAAAATTAGGGTTGTTCCTGAGTCTTATTAGGAAAATATATTTTTCTCTTTTTAATGTGGAGCTGCCTACTTTTGGAATCTTTTTATTTTGATGTACATTTTACAGTTTTGAAACTCAGTTCTACTAGTATCTGCCTTATTTTCTTTGATTAAATCTAATAGTCATTTTTGTTTAGGAGTGGGCCATGAATATTTTGCTTTTTTTCAGTTTTGAATATGGTGTGTCATCCTATGAAAACCATCTCATTAGTTTGCTTTTGTTTTTAAGTGCAGGCCTAAAATTGATTTTTGCCTGTGAATAGTGAGTTTTATATGTTTCCATAAAAGTGACGGAGCTTTGCCCACTTGTCTTCATTGTATGAAAATAAATCTATTCCATAAAAAATAACAGATATATTGCAGATGCAAACTATCTTCTTTATAGTTATGTTGGGTGGATTTATTAGTGAACAGGGATTGATGGCCCCCTCCATCAGATGAAATGCTAGGGAAGTCTACAGAAAAAGTATTACGTTGTTTCTAAAGAAATCAAGGCAGGCAAATTGAACCTTTCTAAAACTAGGAAGACGTCCTCTGATAACTTATCTGTTGTCTTTCTTAGTCTCAAAGTCAGGAAACATATATGTGGACATAGCGTTATTACGAGGTCCCTCTGGCACTACTGGGAAAGTTATACAGTGCCTTCAACTAGACAAAGTAGTGATGATGGATGGCCTGTTTGTAGAAGAAAAAAGGGAGAAGTGTGCACATTTATGTAACATCATGTCTCATTCACACTGGAGATAGTCATTTAAAACTTTGCCAAAACTAAGGTTTAATGAATATTTTTTTGGTCTAAATTTAAATTTGTTTTTTTTTTGTGAAAAGGTGTTCGGTAAGAAAACTTTATTTACAATATTATGTAAATACAAAATCATGTTTTAAAAACTTGCATATATTCCTTTCCCAGCCAAGACATTGTTAGCCATTTTAAAACAAAATGGAAGAGTATCCAATACAATATTCTCCTTCTTTTGGAGGCTCCCTACAAGTGAAAGGAGATTTTTTGTCATTTTATTTGGCTTTTGCTTCTCTCTGTTATATTTCTTTATGTACTTTTCACATAGATACTACACTCTAAATTTACTGCCTTGTATTTGCAAGTATGCCAGTTGAGAGAACTAAAATGGTCATCCTGTTGTTTATCAGAAAGAGGAAGTGTACTTAAGATTATTTTATTTATTAAGATCTGAAAGGCTTCTACATAAATGCACTGAAATAAATGCTAGTAATTTCTTGTACTCTCATTTTTTTTTTTTTTTGCTTCTCATGGAAATGTTTGTACTTTTTTATCATTGTCTTTTATGAAATATAATGTTCTAAAGACTTTGTGTGATGATGTAATTATTTTCTCTCAGGAACTTTTTTGGGTTTTTTGTTGCTGTTGTATTTGTTTTCCTAAATTTCAAGTGAATTATTGATGAATACCTTGGTTGCACTAGGATTGCAACATGATCATAAGGGGATCACAGCTCTGCCTTTGCAACATTCAGTTAAATACAGCTTTTACCTCGGAAGAGACACTGTAATATTTAAATATTTTTCATCAATACAGTTAGTAATTTATTGTATCAAGATGAATATTTAAGAAGTCATTTTTAGCATAGCTTGTCTTCTCCCTACACAACTTCAGTAAACTAAGCTGGCGTGTTATGGTCAATTCCCTTCTTGTTTTTCAGATATCAAGTAGTATTGAAGATCTTTAAGGCAAAAGTCAGGTCTCAAAGATACCAGGGACTAGATTTGTATTTGGGACTAGACTGTGCGATCTTGACTTTTATCAACTTAAATTATTTGCATAATTAATTGTAAGTATTATTGATTTTTATACATAGTATGAGCTACTGGGATATTGTCACTACATATCACAAATAAAGCCAGTCATTAAAGCATAATCATTTAATCATTTAAATCATTCAGAGCCGTAAAATTGAGTTGGTTTGGTCTGCTCCAGGTTCCTACCTATGGTATTAATGTGTCTCTGATGAAACATGCCTACTCAATTTAATGATCTCATATATTTTTTTGTGCTGTCTTTAAACATGTATTTAAGGTTATGGAGATATTCTGGACCAAAATTGTTTGATTTGAGAAGGCTGTTCTTAAGGAGCATGTACTGTATTGTTCTTGATTTAAGTGACTGCAGAAAAGATAGCAATATGTCCCTCAACTCTACTAGAATTAGAAGAAAAATACATAGGTTGAATAATGAAACTTGAATCTTAGCACATTCCCATAACATATTGGTGGACCTGAATTCCATTGCTAATTTAATCTTCCCAATTCCATCAGTTTAAGTTTGTGCTCTGGAGGATCTCTGAGAGGTATCAGACATTACCTGCCCTCAAGGAGTTTACTGTCTTCTGCGTGTAAAACTGACATAGTGGAAACAACTGGAAACCTGCCTACCCTCAGATGAGATGCTCAGTTGTGTCCTCTGCAGACACGGTTTTACATTTCGCTAATGCAATCTTAGGTCAATAGAGAGCTTTGTAGGGTCAGCTTTTCTCCAGGCCCAGAGTATTTCTCAGCTGTAAGTGTTATACTTCAGAAGGCTGATTGAGGTAATCACTCTGCTGCGACAGACCTTGAGGATTTGCAGTTAATTTACAGGAGGGCTGTGTGGAAGGTGGTGGTTATAAGCAAAGACTCTGGAATCAGACTGATGTGAGTTTGAATTCAGGGATTCCCTATCATTAGCTGTGAAATTTTAGCAAATTTTTAAACCTCTGTGGTTCTCAGTTTCCTGATCTCCCAATTGAGGATGATAGGAACTACCCGAGGGTCGTTGAAATGATGAAATAAGCTAATCCTAATAAGAGCACTGAGCCCAGTGCCTGACACACTGAGCAAAAACTTAGATAAAGTCAGTTTTCAGCTTTAGAGTAACAAGCTTTTTTCCATGCAAATTGTCCTGGATCATATTTAAAGAAGATACTGCATTCTTTAATTCTACTGGGAATTGGAGTTGCTGATTCCACTATCCCTGATAATGTATGTAAACAATTAGCAAAACTGGCAAAAGTGCACAATAAAATTTGACAGTAACAGTCTTGAGAAGTGTAGCAAATGGGGCTCAGGTTCTGTTTCCCTGAGGGGTGTGCGGCTTCAGGTGGATGACGTGGAAAGCATCTTGTACTCGGCTCCTGGAAGGCCTTCTGTCACCCCTGCCTGCTCTCAGCCTTACGGCCAGAGACGTAAATGTCCACATGGGCCTGGGATCCTGCTTTTTGTCTCCGACCTTGGCTTTGGGGTTTGGCTTTTTTACCTATACTCTTCTCAGTTTCCTTGGAAGACACTTCTTCCTCTGCCTTCCGTTCTTCCCCTCTTCGAGGACTGCTTTCTAGCCCTGTCCAGTAGAATATTCTACGATGATGGAAGTGTTCTAAGACTATCCTATCCAACATGGTAGTCACTAGTTATGTGTGGCTATTAAGCATTTGAAATGTGAATAGTGCTAGTAAGGAACTGGATTTTTAATTTCGTTCACTTTTTAATAAATTTAAATAGCCATGTACAGCAGGTGATCTTCTGTACTGCAAAGCTTTATTTAACTGCGTGGTCTCCCCCAGTGTATGTAGGAGACTCGCAGGCCGTATGTCCAGCTCAGAATTCTTAGTTCCTGATCCACTTTATCCACTTATCTCCACCTCCTTGTCCACAGAAACTTAACACTCAGCATGTCTTAAGCTGAATTTATCGTATCCCCCCAAACCTAGTCTTTCTCTTCTTTTACCATCCATGTAGTAACTCAAGGACCAATCTGTGAGTCATCATCCCTCTTTCTAGTCTGTACTGTCAACATTAACTCCACCTCTTAAGTCTCTCTCCAATCCATCTGGTCTTCTGTCTCCACAGCTACCTGCATCCTCCCCAGGCTTTTCTTTCTACAAAGGTATGTTGTCTTCTTTGAATCTGTCTTCCACATTCCCACAGAAATTGTCTTTTGAAATATTCCTTTGCTTAAAATCTTTCAGTGGCTCCCCATTGCCTACAGGATAAGGTGCACATATTTCTGCTTCTCATACCAGGTCCTTAATGATCTGACTTCTGCTTGCCTCTCCAGGACCACCACCTCACCTCTCATTCCTATTGCACCTTATGCCCTTATAATTCTCTGGCTGCCTGTAAACTACTTCCAGTGGCCAGCATCATGCCCCTTTGCCTTTGCGCACCATCCTTTCTACCCTCATTCACCAGAGGATCTACTTCATATCTCTTAAGACTCATCAAGCTCCTGTGGAAGCCTTCTCAGGCCAACCCAAGTAAAATTTGCCACTCACTCCCTTGTACTCCACCCCTACAGTACATAACCCCTGTTAAAGCATGTCTTACACTCTCACATTTATTTATTTACACATTTGCTTTTTCTAAGACTGTTAGCTCTTTGAGAGCAGTGGTCTGCATCATTCATTTTTGTACTCGCAGCATCTAGCACAGTGCTCAACACATGAGTGACTTTGTCAGAGGAACTCTATTTGCCGTCTAATAGGGCGGAACACTCCACGGCGTTCTCAATTGCTGTTCCATTAATACATGTGTCATACCTACTTACTGAACTGTGTTAAGTAGGATCAGTGCCTTAATTATGACCATTAAGGGCCATCATCAAAATGGGTTTTGACCCACCTACAAATATGTCTGAATAGAGTGCCAGGCTCATCTTTTTACTCAACATATTTTTAAAATTGAAAAATATTTACTAAACTAAATAATTAATATAGTTTATACAGGAATAAACAATAGTAAAGAATTCACTGCCAAAATATTAAATTTAAAAAAAAGTCAAGCATGGAAAGTGAAAGTCACTCCACAAACTAAATGTTGTCGCAAGACACTAATGTGACAATGAAAGAGTTCCAGAGCAGATGCTGAAAACAGCGTTTTGACTTATCAAAGAGAAGGTATTAATTTACATCTGAGGTAGTTTTTAAAATATAACTAGCTCATTTCCAAGAATTATCCTGACTTTCTTTTAAACAGGCCTCCCTCCCTTTCTTCCCTCGCTTAACCTGCTCTTTTCCTTTCTTCTCTCCACCACCGTTGTTAGAATCAGAAAAAATCCTGATGGCTATTAATTTCCCTGGAGTCTTTATGAAATGCTGTGAGTGCTTTTGTTCGGGCAGAAGAGGGTCACTATGGAAACCAGACTCCTTCATTATTCTCTTATCCCTTGACCTCGTCTAAGTGTCATTTTGCATAGGATAATTATGCAGTATTTCAACCTGGCTAGCAACTTCTGGCAGCGTTGTCTCCCATCTCTCCCACCTCAGTATTTTTTGGCGTTTATTAAGCACCTGCTGTGTCTCGAGCACTGTGCTGTGCTGGGAGCATGAGGATGAATAACACAGTTCCTTCCCCCACCTAGGCTATAGCCAACTAAGGGAGATGCTTTCCTAGGGCTTCTCAAGGGGCCAACCCCTTTTCCCTCTAAATATTTTATAACCTACTTGGAAACCCAATAGAAAAATGGGCAAAATCTCCAATAGGCCACATAAGAAGAGAGCAGTTCACACAGAGTTCCACCCACAGGGGCTGTCGGGGAGGGCATCTCCTGTTCCTGCAGAGGGGGTGGGGTTGGGGGGAGAACCGGTTCCACCCACCTCTGCTGCCCATGGGGTTGGGGCCTGCCCTGGCTTTTATCAGGGTGTCCTGGAGAATAGCCAACTGTGATTCACCTGCCTGCTGTCCTGTGCTGTCCTGGGTCTAAGGCTACAGAGAGCAGGCTTTTCTTGGGAGGCGGTTTTTTTTTTTCTTTTGATCTGCTCCTATCAGCATTTCTGGTTCGCAGCTGTCTCTAGCACCCAGGCTGGGATACTTAGGGCCTGAGAAGAGAACTCTGGGAACTCAGCTGGGGTGTTCCTCGAGTCTGGGTCTCCTTGGGCAGTTCACCTTTACTCACTTCTCAGAGTCTGCTGGTAGGGTGTGTTTGTTGTTGTTGTTTGGTCATTAGTGGGAGAAGAAAATGGAATGTGTTTACCCCATCTTGTCCAACTCACATAAAAATGTGATCTAAAAAGGAAAATAAGGAAGTGTTCTGTATCTGGACTATGTCAATGTCAATATGGTGGTTGTGAAGTCGCACTATAACTTTGGAAGGTGTAACTGGGGAGGAGGACTGTGGAAAGGGTACGAGGGATCTCTCCATATTATTTCTTACAAGTGCATGTGAGCCTCCAATTACCTCAAACTAAAAACTTCAATTAAAAAAGAGGTAAAGGGTCCTACGTGAAAGATGATCAGTTCCACTCACAATAAGAGAGATGCAGATTAAAACTATATCGAAGTGCCAATTCTGACCTATCAGATTGGCCAAAATCCAAAAGTTTCACCAACACTATTGGTGAGGCTGTAGAGAACCAGCTGCTCTCGTACATAGGATGCAAAATGTCACAACCCCTCTGGAAGGGAATTTAGCAATATCCAGCAAAATTACTAAAGCATTTACTCTTTGTCCCAGAAATCTTTTTTTGGGTGTCTATCCTAAAGACACATCTGTATAGAGATGAAGCAACATATGTACTCGTTTATTCCTGGAGGTGTGTAGCTTAGAGTAGCACAAGATCGGAAGCACCCGAGCGTCTGTGTAGAGGGCGCTGGTTGAATCGGCCCTGGTCACCCACACACTGGAGCACTCTGCAGCCACGTAAAACGGGGGCACAAATTCTGTGTTCTGATATGGATGTGTTTCCAGGCTGACAGTGTCCTGTGGGAAAAAATAAGGTTCACACACTATATTAAATGCTGCATTTTGTGAATGAAAGAAGAGAAAATAAAAATGTATGCATGTATTTGTTACTTTGTACAAAAGAGCGACTAGCAGGACAAACCAGAAACTAGTAAAAATGGTGATGTGGTGGGGAGGGTGGCAGAGGGGTGGAAGGCACAGGGATGGCAGTGAGACTGGTTCTTTATGATTTTATATGGTTAGGAACTGGAACCTTGTCAATGTTTTTACATAATCAAAAAGTGAAATTTAGAAACAAACCCTAAAATCAATCTTAAACAAGCAAATTTTCAAAATTATTTGGACAAAGGAGAACAAATGTTTAGTGAGTTTGTTCTTCATTAACTAATGATTAACCTTAGCAAGTATGAAGAAAGTGATTCCTCTTTGCTCCTTGTTCTTGCTGCATTATGTAAATGTCACTAATGCCATATCTGCATGTTCTGCTGGGTCTTTTTCCTTCCTATTTTCACTGTGCATTTTTCTTTTTTGTACACAATTTGCTTTGTATTGTTAATGTGGGGAAGGTAATAACTACCCTTTCATGGACATATCAGTGGGTTTGGCAGCCCTGCCCATGGTCCTTTCCCAGAGAACCTGCTTTAACCACCTCCTCAAAGGAGGAGTTCCCACACCTTGTAGCTTTCCTGGCCACAGCTCGCTGGAGGAGGGGTAGAGCCTGGCCCAGAGAGAAGGCAACGATGGTCAGGCTAAGCCTGCCAGATTCTTAGCAATTTGAAGAAACACAGGGACTGAGGCAGTTAATTTGGGGGCCAGGGGGCTGAGCCCAAATTTCCGTCCTTGTGATTAAGTGAGCAGAGAAGCTGGTTTGCAAAGAGAATGAAGAGGATTCATATTGGGAATCATGCAGCCCGGAGACAGAAAAATGTGGTTACTTCAGTTCCTGATGGCTTTCCAGAGCCAGCCCCTGGTGAGGCCCAGATGTGTCCGTTCCATTTCTGTTCTGTGAGATACGTATGAATCCTTAAATAAATCTTTGTTGTTCAAGTTAGCTGGACTGAGTTTGTGTTTCTTAAATCAAACGACCCTTAGTTGAGACACTCCATTTCTCTTTTGGAAAGGTTTTTGACCTCATTAAAATCAATTTTGATTATGTTGATCAAAGTGACAAGCTATTCATAATCATGCGTATTCAGACCTACATAAAAATAGCCCTACTGGAGTGAGATGTCTTTGAGGAGAAGAACCATTTCTTTTTCATCTTTACCTGGCACTCCTAATGGGAATTTAATAGATATTTGTTAAGTAAAAGGTTTTTCACTTGTAGCCCTTACAGTATGGATTTGGTTTTTTAAAATTGCTTTTCTCTAAGACAATAGAATGTAAAATCTCAGGGGAAACAGTTTCAGTTTGAGTTGGATTTGAGGCACTACGGATATTCTGGAACGAGTCCCCAGACATCTGGTCCTCCTCATTCCTTGTCTAGGAAGTCCTGGGAAGCTGATTCAGGGGCTCCCCGGGGTTTGGGAACTGGTTAAATGGACAACACCCTCAGCGAGTGGGTCTCAATGCTGATTGACGTTCGACTCACTTGGGGAGCTTTGTAAATTATAATCACATTTGGCACCACCTCCAGAGAATTGATTTAATTGGTCTGGGTTGAGTATTCTTCAAAATATTCCTGAGTCTAAAATGCAGCTGTGATGGAAAAACGTGGCCGTAGACACTCCCTAGATGGTTAATGTGGCCCTGCAGCTGATGCAGACTCATGGGGCGTTTTGAACAGACGTAGACCTTGGGCCACTCTGATGTGCACTGAAGTTGGAGAAACGCTGCTCGCAGCCAAGACAGGCTGAGGTGGAAGCTGCAACGGTTTGCCTTGGTTCGTCCCGCTTTCTCTCCCTCCTCCTTATGTTGGATCAAAAATTGTTACTGTTCCAGAGAAGAAGGTACTGAAGACTTATGAAAGACCGTTTAATGAGACAGTTATTCTGACAAGTTTTTTGAATATTTGGTAGGATAATGTCAGTTTATAAAGTTTCACATAGATAGTTCACATCCTACCTGCCTGTAATGGGCCAGACACTTTCTAAGCTCTTTCCATGTAATACCTCACTGTGGGTCCTCACAACTGCCCTGAAGGATTGAAAGTGAGGAGGGATTGAGAAGCCACAGAAAGGAGGTTCCATGGCAGAAGGGAAAAATCTAAGTGCGGCCTGTTCAAGATAAATCAGAAAATGGAAGTGGTTAAGAGAATTTTGAGAGTCCAAGAAAGTGAAATAAGAAGCAGTGGATGAGAAATTTTATAAACCCCAGAATTTACAGACCTTATAAAAAACTTTCTAGAAACAAATTCCTGACTAGATTTTAACCTCAAAGTCCAACAATTTATTGAAGTTAAAAAAAAAAAACGAACGTTAATTGTTATTCTAAGTCCAAAGGGTTTTGCTGCTTCTAAGTTACAAAGAATATGGCACTGCTTTTATAGTGTGCTTTTGTAAGGAAATAAAAGCTATCCAAAGGCTTATTAGTATACTTTCGAGGAAATAATTGAGTAATATTTTTAATAACAATTTTTGGTAGCTACTTATCTAAAAACTTCTTTTATAAGTCATTTCCTGGGAGTAATGTCATTTTTTACTATAGGCCTAGAAGCTAAAGTATAATTGCCAATCCCTTGGGAGAACAAATTGAATAGGGACCATGAAACCACAGAACTTTAGATCAGGAAGGGGATTTTAAAATCATCTAATTCATTTCTTTTCCTTTCCATTTGTTTTATCAGGTATCAATTAAAACAAAATAAAATATAAATGGAATTTCCCACCCCTCAACTGAACAATTCTAAGAGCCTTTAGGTTCTCCTCATTCGGTCTACTCCAGCCACAAGACTGGGCTTTAGAAAACATTGATCAGATCAGCTCATTACCCTTCTTTACCTTCACTGGCTTCCCCATTACTCACAGATTCTTTCACTTCTTAGCATAACCCTTCAGTCTGCTGCCACTCGATATGAAATATCTAGCCTCTAACTAAAACAAGTTGCTTGCCTTTCTCTGAATATTTAATGTGCTCTCAAAACTTTGCCCCTCTGCATTTCAGTCTCCTCTTATGCCTTTTTCGTACTTACTTGCCGGGAGCCTCCTACTTTGCTTGTAAGGGCAAGCCCAGTTGTCCCCTCCTCTGTGAGGCCGCCAGGAATCAGAACAAGTTTTTCTATTATGCTACCATAGCATTTTAAATATTTTTATGGCAATGCTCACTTTCTTTCCTTCTCTCTTTTCTTTCTTGTCTCTTTTCTTCTTTTCCTCCCTCCTTCACTCTCTCTCTCTCTTTCCCTTTTCCTTCCTTCTTTCCTTCTTTCCTCCCTTCCTTCTCTCCTTCCCTTCCTTGCTTTCTTCTTTCCCTCCTTCTCTTTCTCTCTCTTGTTTTTTCTTTCATGCCTGTCTCCATTGCTAAGAACATGAGTTCCTTGAAAACAGACCCGGTGTCTTAATTCATACTTCTAGCTCCAGCACCTGGTACACAGTAGGTGCTCAGTAAATGTGTGTTGACTAAGTCAATACATGTATGCTGTCGTAGATTGAATGATGGCCCCCCAAAAATGTCCATGTGCTAGTTCCCAGGACCTATACAAGAAACTTTGCAGATATGATTAAGTTAAGGACCTTGAGATGGAGAAATTATCCTGGATTATTTGAGTGACCCAGTGTAGACACCAGGGTCCTTATAAGAAGAGGTCATGAGCCAAGGATGAAAGTGCCTTCTAGAAGCTTAGAAAGGCAGGAAGAACCAGTGCTGGAGGCCAAGCATCCAGAAGGAACGCAGCCCTGCCAACACCCTGATTTTATACTTCTGACCTCCAGAAGTGTAAGAGAATCAATTTGTGTTGTTTTAAGCCACTGAATTTGTGGTAATTTGTTACAGTGGCAATAGGAAACTAATACACATGCCTGTGTGAATTAACAAGTCACAGATCCTTTACTAGACTTTTAAAAATTGTCTAGTAAAGGAATAGACAAAAAAAACATAAAAAATAAATACAGGAGAAATGTTGCGCCTTACTAGTCAAAGAAATAAAAATTAAAGCAATCATGAGATATAATGATATATCTGCTAAAGTGGCAAACATTTTTAATAAGCAGAACCAGTAAGGCTTAAGTGTCATAAAATTTATTACATTAATGTGTTCATACCCTAGTGCTACTCCAAGTGATAGTAGTTAGAGTTCTTGGGAGCTTATTATGTACTATGCGTTGTCTTAAACCTCTTTGTACGTGTTATGACAATTAGTCTTCAAAATAATCCTCTGGAGGTGGTGCTACGGTTATTCCCATTCTACAAATGAAAAAAAACAAGGCAAAGAAAGCCGATGTCATCTGTCCAAGATCATACAGCTTGTAATGGTGGAGCCAGGACTCCTTCCCAGGCAGTTTGATGCTCAAGGATCCACTTGGTCTAGGAGTTAGATACTCCTGGAAATGCTAGGACGTTCGCTTAATTCAACACAAGCAAAAAGCTATATTCTTCATAAAGATGTTCATTGCAGCACTAACTATAAGTACAAAAAATTGAGACTGTCTAAGTATATCGCAGTATGAGGGTGGTGTAATTAAGCGACTGTAATACATAAACAAGATAGTCAATGTTTCAAAAAGTAAAAATCATAATTATAAAGATTACATAGAAATATGAGAAATTGTTCATGGTAAAATAAAGCATGAAAATTTCCCATTATGATTGCAACTTTATGTTTATAATAATTAGTAAAAAACATTCTATTGTAATACAACTATGGGTTACTGTAATTTTGGTTTCTTGAACATTATTAAACTCTTTTCAATGAAAGTGTAATAAAATAATTATCTTTGAAAAAGTTCTACCAATTTTATTCTCAACAAATCATAGGATTGAGTCTTTCAGTTTACTAATGTATAGAAGGAACAAGCCTATTTTAGGGCCATTACTGATTTTTTTGTACTTTCTTCTTACCAAGGGAAGATGAATATTTTTAAAGCTGTATTAATTGAGACGTTCTTGGTCACAAGTAATGAAATAACTAAATCAGTAAATCTAAAACTGTTCTAAAATTAAAAGTTTATTTTTGAAAAATTGATTTTAAAAACCCTGAATCAAACTTACTTAAAAAATAAAGGAAACTATTGGTTAATACCAGTGAAAATTCCAGAAACATTCAATGCTTCAGCTGCTCCACAGTGTCACCAAGACTCACTTTCTACCTTCCCGGAACTGGCTCCCTCTTGAGGATTGCTCCCTCACAGTCATAGGAGAGCTGCCAGCACCTCCCAGGGCTGCATCCTTGCAGAGAGGCACCACATTTGTATCTCACTATGAAAGAGAAGTCCTGGGTTTCCTTCTTATTGGGCCATTTTAGGTCCCCTGAACACCCCTAAACTAAACATCGTGGCAAAGATGATGATATTTCCCTGATTGATTTAGACAGCTAAGCTCCTTGCTCCCACTGCCCTCCTGGAACTAAGGATGACAGTGTGTCCATTGCTACTCAGTGGAAGAGGAATGGATGGTTGTAGCTAAAATATTCATTATAGAGCATTCATGGGTTTTCCTGTGTATTTGTCTCTGTACAAAGGAACCCCAGGCAGGAAAGGGCTTGACTCCTGGCAAGGCCCCAACTTCCCATGTGGGAGTCCCACTCCCCAAGCAGGGCCGCAACCCCCCAGCAATGCCCAGCCCTAGGCAGAGCTCCTATCTCATGCCACTGCTCCCTGGGGAGGTCTGGAATAGCAGAGGTCTCTGCCTTTCAAGGCGCTGAAGCAAACCCACCCTGTAGGCTTTAGTTATCATTTTGAATGAAGGTACCCTTTTGTTCTTTTGGCCCTGGCCTTAGACAGAAGGACATTTTAAATAGACTCTTTCTATTTTTAGACATTCTGAGTGACTAAGTTCCTGAAATCAATCCAAGGATGCAGAAGCTGGCACTCAATGTTTGAACTAGGTTACTTCCAGGAGCTGGTAGTCTTTTAATGTTTCTCCACAAACTGGTCCATTCCTGTGGATTGGTAGGTCATG